CAGTCGTTGCTCGTCTTGTCGTAGAACCTGCAGCATTACAAAAATTCACTCAAAATATCATTTTGCAAAGCTTGGAGAAAATGCATTTTTTCTCTTTGAAAACATCTTTGGCCTTTTTTAGATCTGAGCCACAGGAAACCAGGCTGTTCTGACCCACTTTACCCACTGTGGAAAGAAACAGTCAATCAAAGGACAGGAGTTTTCTTGGTGCTGCCGAGCCGTCGGCTTGAACCATGAACTCACCTCTTCCCCACCTCATCCAGACGCTGTAAACTTTAGAGCCGTCGTCCTCCAGCAGCTGGATCAGGTAATATTTATTATTGTTAAACTGGAGATTAGTCTGCAAAGTTAAAGCAAAAAAAAATAACAATTTAAAGAAAATCAATTGTGTTTTAGAAGTAGTGTAAATGCTAGGTTTATTTAGTTTTTCTATATCATAAAATAAAATCAGAGGCTTTATTAATAATCCTTTTTTTATAGGACATTATTCAAGCTAAAGACAAATTAAAGTTAGTCTTTAATTAGTAGAAATCATCCAATCAGCCTCCTATGAGCTCTTTTATTATTTTATTTTCAGGTTCAATCTGCAGACTCAGATTTTAACAGATTCGTTTTGTTTTTTCATATTTTAATTACTTATTGCAGGAATAAAAAAAATGTTTATTTTACCTGGTTCAGCATCACATCATACACATCATCTCCTTCACAGTAAACGTGAGCCTGGAAGAAGGATGCAAACAGACGTTATAATAAGACCGAAAGATTGTGAACTGATGAGCATCGATAGGCAGCAGCTGCTGTAATATTTACCTAAAGAAACATTTAATATATATATTAAATTAAGCTAATACTAGGGTAAAAATTGACAACGCTGCTTTAGGGAAAAGAGGCGGCAGGCAGGGAGGGCTGAAACAATCCGATTAATTGATTATTGAAATAATAGTTTATATATATAAACTATAAATGAAATAATGGACAGATTAACTGATTTGCAAAACCATTGTTAGTTGCAGCCCTACAGGCACGTCTGGTGTCAGACAAAAAAACAAAACAAATCCGTATATAAAAAGTGGCTCCTGCCTGCTAGAGCAGGGGCCGGCAACCTGTGGCTCTTTAGTGCCCCCTTGTGGCTCACTGGAGCTTTTTAAATGCAAAAGGATCTACTTTCTTTCCTCCTCTATCTTGCTTTCCTTCTTTCTTTCCACTTCCACAGAGCCACACAGAACATGGAGGATTTTATTCAGTTGTGGGGTTTTAACATTTTATCTAATGTGTCAGATGAAGAACAACTACAGTTCAACAAGCTCCTCATTTAATGATTTTTAACTCACACGTTTTGTATATTAATCATTGGTTATATGTTTTGAATTGTGTAAAAAAAAGTGTCATATTT